CAACAACAAACCCCCCTCCTCAGAACCTTCCCTTCTTTTTTTTTTTTAAAACTATAGATTTTCGTTAAAATATTGTAAACATCAATACCCAACGTAGAATAGAAGACTTCATTAACGCGATGGTTAGACTCCGGCCATTGTTGGGTGACTCAGGTCTTCCCTTCGTAGGCCCGAAAAACGTTCCGTATAAGAGGTTAAGTAAAACTCGATGAGAATATAGGACCGGTACCGGGCAGTTTATTGGGTTTGGGTTTTTTTTTTTTTTTCCATTCCTTACGCTGCAAAGTTTTTCCAGAAGTTATAAAACACGCACCTTGTGGAAAGCTGATTCGCAGGGTTCCCGGCTAAAAAATACAACATGAGTCGGCTCTGGAGCGCTCTGCTGACTGGGTAGGGGGCAAATTCTGCAACACACTGTGTTAATATAACACATACGGAGGAAGTATACGTTTACTCAGTGGTATAGAATGGAACTCGGGGTGAAATGCTCCGTGTTTTGGTCAAAAAAAAAAGTTTGCACATTGAGCTTTCTTGAATGGTGACTTGTCCCCGAGTACGGCCCTTAGGGAGGGCCCTACTAAAATGCAAAGTGGCGGATCGTATAAGCATCAGTCTTTATTGAAGTCATGGCCGTGTCTACTCTACAAAGGTGTCTTATCAAAAGTGGGCATTTGTTATTGCCAAGGAATTTGGTGGCGGGGGAGACGTGCTAATGTAACCAACCTTGAAAAAAACCGGTTGTCGGATAAGCGGAAGAAGAGAGAATTTGTCACCACGTGGCAGCCGAACATGAAAATATGTCTCTGCGGGAAAACGAGGCTCTCAAAATTCTGGTGCTGACTGCAGAATCCGCCAGTTCTAGTCCCACTGCAGCCACAAAAGTTCCCGACTTCGTTTTGTCTTCTTCGCTGGTCATCCAGGAGGTTTCTGCAACCATCACTCCAGGTTTTTTGTGGCTACGACCCCCTATATACGGGAAATCACATTGCGTGGTCTATTTGCAAGACGGCAAAATGAAACTTTTCCTTCCAAGTAGATAAGATGGGCCGATAAAGCTTCATGTGTAGATACTGGGAGACAGTTATTTGGGTATAGAGCCTACCGATCCATCCTGGGCGCCCCCCTTTCCATTCCAACAATCTTTGGGGGGGCTTCATGGACTAAGCTCCATCAAGACACGAGGATGTCCAGAGTGAGCTACTATAGCAGCAGGGAGGTATGCACAGAGGATGCAGAGGGGGTGGGGGGGGGAAACCTAGCACGTGAATGTTGCTGGTTCGTTAAAGCAATCCATTCTCAGAGGTTTCTTCAAGTTCTGAAAAGCAGCTATCGAATGCCAATGCACAAGGCCATCCCTTCACGTCAGAACGGGGAAAGACCGGAAGTCGAGCGACCGCACTCCGTGTCTCAGTGGCTATCTCACTCGTTTGTCAACCGAATATATAGACATGTAGTAATCGTTGCTGCCAACGGCTAAGTGAGGCTGGAGGAGGAAGAAAGGAGGACAAACTGATTAACATTTACAGTGATATACAGAATTATTCTCATGTCTACCGCAACCAGCGGGTGAAAAGTTTTCGGCTCTACAGATATGATTAATATACAGAGCCTTGTGCATTAGGTACATATTAAAAAAAAAAAAACAAGAAAAACCCACTATC